TTATAAAACTAAAGAATAGACCTTAATTCTAAAAGTTTATAAAGTAACTTTATATAGCCTAGGAATAAAAAGGGGCTATATAATCTTACCTTCGGCTTTTAGTAGAAGTAAGATTATATAGAATACTAGGCCTAGGAGTTATACTATAGCTATTACTACTATACTATAGTAGTAGAATAGGTTCTAATACCTAACTAGATAGAGGAAAATTCTTTTACTTTATATACTATCGCTTAAATCTTCTTACTAGACCTAATTTTAAAGTAAAAAAAGTTAGCTAGTATAGGAATTAAACCTATACTTCTAGATCCCTATTATATACTCTAATTATTAGATAGAGCCTAAGAGCGTAAAAACGTTTAGTAGATATCTATTTAGGAGTAACTTCTATAGTCTAGAATTATACTACTTAACTAACTAGCTAGTACTTAAATAAATAGCTCTAATTAGCTACTAGATAGAAAGTAGGATCTAAGCCTAATATAAGTATCCTCGTTAGAAATAGGGAAGATATATATACTAGCCTAAATAGGAGTATTAGATAGTATAGTCTAGATAGATAAGCTAAGACGGATACCTAAAGTATTAATACTAAGAGTTATATAACTAAAAGGAGTTTATCTCTTTTTAGTCTTTCTACTTCCTATAACTAACTAATATAATTATACCTAGGTTAGTTCCTAGTATTATTTATTAGTTTAGTTACTTCTACTATATTCGATACCTATATAAACTTTATAGAGTAGTTTTAGCTTAATAGTATCTACTAAAAAGGAGTACTAAAATATTTACGAGAAGTAGTTCTATAGTACTTATAAAAGTAGAAAGAAATATTATAAATATATAAAAAGAAGATATTTCTAGTAATAGAATAGGAAACCTACTAAAAAGAGGCTACTTTATTATCTATAATAGTAGGCTATATATAGCGCTAGTATAGTAACTCGAGCTATAATAGAACTATTCTAGAACGTTTCTATAACTATAGAAGTCTACTTAAAAACTCTCGGCTTCTCTATTACCTATAATTATTCGATAGATAATCTTTACTCGTTACGTAATTATCTACGTTACTAGCTTAAAACCTTAATTTAATATTATAAATACTACTTTTTATAATAATAGAAATAATATAAATACGCTATTTTTTTGTATTACTAGCGATAGTAAACGATCTATAGTTTCTCGTTTAAACGATTTACTATCTAGTTTTCTAAAAGTTACGTAGTAACTTATAGAAATTATCGTAGTTACGAGTAGACGTAATTAGTACTATAATACTACTAATCTCTAAAAAACTAATATACTTGTTATATTTATATCTAGTCTACCTAGTTATCTCTAAAGAATAGGAGATATATAGAATTTAATACGTAAAGTAACGTTAGTCGCTAAATTAGCGAATAATTAATTAATTAATAAACTAAGTCCTACTCGGTTTTAGCTGTATTTTAGTTAGTAGCTATACCTAGATATAGAGAGTTAGCTAATAGCTAATATAATACTAAGTAAATTAGTACGTCCTACTTTACTATACTCTATAGTATAACTAGCTATTCTTTTCTCTCTACTTATAATCTATTTTTATAGATAACTAATATATATCTCTAGAATTAAATACTTACTCTAATATTATACTTCTTTAGTATACTCTATATATTATATAAATAAAACTTTATTTTTAGTAACTTTCTATTATAGCTCCTATCTATATACGACTATATACTTATAGTTTTCCTATAATAGAGACGTTATCTATCTATTATATTCCTAACCTCTTAAAATATATATTTATTTTTTAATTTTATTCTTTTTCTACTTTTAATAACTTATACTAGGTTCCTATATAGCTATATATATATATATACGTCTAGTTAGTAATACTAGTAGTAATACTCTTTTCTTTATATCTCTAGAAATATAATACTCCGCTTATATAAAACGTTAAATTACTAAGTATAAAAACTCTTTTTTAAATCTTTTTAGACTTTATTAAGTATACTAAGAGGTAACGAGTCTTTTAATATAGTTAGAAGATAATAGTAGGCGAGGCTATCTAGTAGTCTATAGTATTATATAGTACTAATCGTAGTATACTAGATATCTAGTATTTAATTCCTAAGTAAAATAATACTATTCTATTTAAGAGCTTATCGATACGGGACGTTATAAATATTATCGAGGTTTTAATAAGTAGTAAAAGACCTATCTACTACTATATATTATAACTATAGTATTATAGGATATTTAGGCTTAGTTATTATATCTATATAGCTAAAGATTAATACTATAATACTACTATTATCGCTACCGTATATTAACGCGTTATATTAAAAGCGTACTTATAGTATTTTATCGACTATATCTACTATAACCGTAATAGTAACTCTATAGAGGTTATTCTAGTAAAAAGAGTTACGTAGCGATCTATAGAGGCCGTTATAGCTATAAGTAGACGTATAATATACCGTAATACGACTAATTTCTAAAGATTAAGTTACTCGCTATATTCGTGTTTTTTTTTTCGCTAAATTAGCGAAGCGCATGTACAATGTTCGAGCTCAGCCAAGGGAGTTAATTAGTCAGCTAGAGACCAGTCGCAAGAGCGGATAGTGCGGATAGAGTTAAAGGCCAAATTGTTGGTGTCAGGTTGAACATAAGTCCTCAATGTCTTAGTATCATCTTCGAGACTGCTTGCTAACTGAACTTGTTGTCTATAATTACCCTACGTCGATCGACTACAAACGGCATTAATGTCAAACTCAAGGACATCTATTCGCCACGGGCTTACTGCGTCAGGGTTGTCGCTGTCCAATACTTGCCGTATCGTTCATCAAGCAGCGATTCCCGACCAAATTCCATTCCCGAAAGATATTCCCGATCTGAGCATGAGGCAGCTACTACCATCTGGAGACAAAGCGCTGCGCGGCCAACTAGGGGTCATCGAGTTCACTGAGCATTACCGACTCCCTCGGCACATACACATCGCAAAGGATCGCGAGGGCAGAGAAAGGCTTATTTCTGAACGCATCTTCGTCAGTGCCGGCGTCGCTCTGGTCGAGCTCAGTGGTGAGATATACATCATTGCGCCAAATACGCTTGTGGATATTGCTGCAGGCGTGCCTCACGCCTGGACAGGGTGCCCACCTGGTGTTGTCTTACCGGACGGCACGCTGTCGACTGGGTCGTTCCTGATGCTATATCAGTACGAACATGAGACAGCCTTTTATCCGACTGATCGGACCACGACCTTTCAAAATGTGGAAGAATACAATGCGAGCAAATACTCGGGCGATCTGAATAGCATAAGGTTTCCTGCCCTTACCAAGGAGGCGGTTGTCGAGCAAGGGAGACTCATCTGGGCTACAAACCTGGCAAGAGCCGCTTTTTAAAAGCGACGATCAACGTTGTATCTGGGGAGTAGGATGATAGAGGCCATAGCATCATGTAGAGATTAACTGACTTGTTACATGGACGCCGCCCAGACGGCTTCAGACCTGATATCAGGAAGGCCGTCGTCACAGATGTAGACCACTGAGTTCTTTAAAGACCCGTAAGGATCCTGTAAATTCGTGCTATTCAACCACGCGCAGTTCACAAAAACCGTCCGATTGCTCGATGATATGACTTGTGTATGTCAGCTTCCTCCTTCGCTTTGCGGCTGCCCGTGAACCCTTCGTCTTGTCTTCGCTCTTGCCCAGTATTCAGTCATCGATCTGGTTCGTCGCTGGGGATGCGGCGTAGCCTACTTCGATGTGTGCGACCGTATCTTCGCCTTTAAATTGGTCCGCTTTCTCGATTTCCGCCGAATCAGGAACACTCCCAGACGTGTCAAAAATGAAATTGAGTTCTTCCAGGGTTTTGCCGCTCGTCTGTAACAATGTTAGAACGTTTGTTCCAAAGTCATGCCTACGCAGGAGTCGTCACCTCGGGGTAAAAGACTACGAATTCCAATCAGTAATACATACGTAGAGAGGTGACGGCAATTACTCACAAAAGATGACCCAGATGAAGCAGAAGTTGAAGGCTGCCCACATTATGAAATATCCATATCCAAGCGATTCGAGGCCGGCTGGAGTGACTTGCACCACTGCGAAGTTCCAAATCCAGCCTTGCATACGATTAGTAAGTGCATTATTCGTAATCTTATAGGATGGAGAACAGCCATACCAGAAGCGGCACTTATGGATCCCCCTAAGGCCCTCAGCTTCAGTGGCATGATTTCAACACCATATACCCATGGTGGGATCAGAAGACCAGCTCCACTGTGTAAATGGTGAGGATATATTGCGGGTGCAGGCTCAGCGGATGGCTCACAAGATAAACTGGAAGAAGAAGATGCCAAATGTGGCTACAACTCCGAAGCTGTAAGAGGTCTCCGACGTTCCTATAGCGCCCAAGGCCATTCCGATTGAAGCCCCGGCGAAGCCTGACATTAGCATCTGTAGCTACGTTAGAAACACATCGGACATCGTTGGGTTCGCAAGCTCACCACTCTACGTCCAAGTCTATCTGCGAGGGATGATCCGACGCAACCCCCTAGGAAGAAGACTAAGGCAGTGAACCCTCCCATAATCAGTGCATCGTGGCTGCTCTTCCCTAGGGACTGCTCAAATATCACTGTCGAATAATAGGCGAACACATCTGAAACATTATCAGTCAATAGCTCACGGGCAAGCATTAGAAGGGGTCACTAACTGATTCCAGCCAGCTGCTGCATAGCCTGTGTAGCGAATGCGAGAACCACTCTACGACGGTAGCGAAGAGGCCCTGACGTAACCAGCTCTTTCCAAGCCGGTTTGCCGTCGTGTTCAATCGTGACAGCTTGCTGAATGTCATTGAACATCAGCTGGGCGTCATCACTCTCTCTGATGTGGTTCACGCCGTGGATCGACGCAATGACAGTACTCGCAGCCTCGACACGTCCCTTTGCTACGAGCCATCTAGGTGATTCAGGCAGGAAGGGCATGGTGAGGAACTGTCCCACACAGAAGACGGCTTGAAACGCCAATGGGAATCGGAAAGAGAAGCCAGAGGCGTATGAGCTAACACCGTAGTCGATCTACTCATCGCGTTAGCTGTTTCATGAGTTCCCAGCATTGGACTCACCCAGTACGCGATGAGTAGGCCCAGGGGTCCACATATCATCATGATGCCACCGGCCAGTCCTCTTCGTGAGGGTGGCGCAATCTCTGCCTGCATCAAGTATTAGCAATTAGTATCGACGTTGGGGTTTGAAGCGTAGTATACCATCCACACTGGCACTGTCGCTGTGATCTGCCCAACTCCTATAACCATGATTAGCTCAGCCGGTCTGGTGTACTGCAACAAAGGACCCTTACCGATGCCAGTGATGATGCGAGCAACAATTGTCTGAGGGAGGCTGAAGGAGCTTGCCTGGAGCGCGGCCCCAACCATAGCAAACGCCTGTCCTACAGTGACAGTGATACGGCGCCCAAACTTGCGGCCTGCTCCAAGGTTACTAATAACGCCTTACAGCGAAACCGTGGGAGACTCTACCGTATAACATTGCTGAAATCGCACCAACGAATGCACCGATTCCATATATAGCCACCACGAGACCTTTGATGCCGGCGCTAGAGTTTGGGCTCCCCAGCATTTCTTCGTTGAATTGCGGCAGTGATATTAAACCACTTTGACAATCAGTAACTGAAATCTTTGTCGAATCGCACGACGGGGCTCACCTCATGACTCCTTGATCATATCCATAGAGAAGGATTGCCCAGCCACACGAAACCACTGTCATCCAGGCGAGACCCTCGCCTCGCACCGCAAACATGACTCGAGGACGAAAGAGTCGAATAAATGGATCTCAAGGTAAAAAAGCTTCGAGAACGTTTGACGGGCCTTTTACCAATGAAAAGAGAATGTTGTCACGATGGCAGTCGCCTTCAGATATACGACTCACAGGTACTGTTTCCCCACGGCGGAAGACCTGCAGGTAGGGGAATTTGCGGGTGAGTGGATCGTCCTTCGCGCTCACGTGCAGTCCCCCAATGGAGACTCGGCAAACTCATCGCGAGGTTCCTCATATCAAAGAAAATACAGTACTGTACTGTAGTACCTGTGTGCGCTGCCTATAACCAGATTGATATGTTTGAGGATGTGTGATCTACTTCACACGCCTATCATGAAGGTCTAATCACGGCTTTGCGCACAACTCGGGGCCTCCCTGCCGCGTTCGACTTCCCTTGATCCCATACCTGCTCATACATCTCTAATGCACGATCCATTCCTACTGCTGTTATCTCATCAGGATCGGGCATCGAGTACGTTCCCCTTGACCCGAAACTAGGGGCTAACTCTCGCAGGATATCGTTCATTTCCTTGATGTCGTGTTGTAAGCTGTTACAGCCCACTATAGATTTCTCCGTGCGATAAAGGGATTTCATGTCAAAGGAGAATTGCGCATTGTAGGATTTTGGAGCCGAGATGTATGCCAGACGACCTCCAACGCGGAGTGACTTTAAGGCCAGATCCATGAGCTCCGGACTGCCGACAGTGTCAAGCACAACGTCAGGTCCAGGACCACTGGTCATTGTGGATATATTACCGAAGGCACCTGGGCCCTCTGAGAGGTCGATGTCTGCAAATTGCCGTCTTGCCGCAGTGATTATCCGACAGCCTCGCGCTTTGGCCAGTTGGCAAGCGGCTGATCCAACTGCACCGCTTGATCCCACAACGAGGACGACATCAGTACTGGACACGGCGACTCGCTTGAGCATGAGATACGCAGTTGTCCAAGGGACGCCTAGGGTTGCAGCTTGAGTGAATGATATGGAGCGCGGTAGAGGCACAAGCCCGGCCTCTGGTATCGCGCAATACTCTGCGCTGGGGCCGTCGAAAGTGAACCCCATATGGCGGCCACTCGTCCCAAATACCCTCTGACCAGTAAGAATATGGCCTTTGCTGACAACTATCCCAGCCCAATCTCTTCCCGGAGTGCGTGGTAATGTTGTGTGGGGAAAATAGCCCCGTGAATTCGCCGCGTCCGAGGGATTAATGGCCACTGCCTTGATCTGAACCAGCACAGTGCCTGGAGTTTCTTTCGGCACAGGCATCGTCAGCAGCACAAGACGCTGGGTGGTTGCTTTCTTGGTGTCGCCCCCGTCCTCATGACTCGTGACTATCCTAATCGCTCTCATGGTGTGCGGGAAGACGGATTCGTTTGCTGTCGTGCTAGATGGCAGCAAAAGCTGTGCTGTGGCTGTGGCCGTGGCCGCGGTCGTGATCGGTGTGGTAGTCATTGCAGTGTACACGTTTTCCAGGAAGCAGATGTGCACAAATAACAGCTTACAATTTCTCAAGTACAGCCTCGATTTCAACTGAGCCAAGGTCGATGGAACTCACAGTTTGCCGATGTATATTGCGGGTTAACGGAGAAGCGGATGGCAATTGCGGGTTGGGCTCTCCGTCTATGCGGATAGAAGACACATGCTACTAGTATACTTCAGGATACATATCAAAAGGGTCGCTATTGGCAAATAAATACCATCAGAGGTGTCAGCAGAATAGCCACAGGCTCATCAAGTGAGACTTCGCAGTGACAAAGAAAATGTCCCGCACAATTACCAACGACATTAATGGCTCTCACAGCCTACCACGGATTGCTTGGATTGGTCTGGGCAACATTGGTGCGGTCAGTAATTTTGCAGCGCGCCCGTTGGAAAACGTTTTCTAACATAGATACAGGGCATGTGCAAGAACATCGCAGCAAAGGCACAGATCAAACTACCAGTTTCGGTATTCGATGTGGACATGGATCGTGTACGTGCAGTGCAATCACATGACCCCAAGAGGTTTCGTATCGCAGCATCAGTTGTCGATGCAGTCCGCGAATCAGACATGATATTTTACTCTGTCCCTGATGATGCCATTGTTCTGGATGTCGTAAAGCAAATCACTTCAATCGGCATTGAGGACAAGATCATGGTCGATTGCAGCACCATCCATCCAGATACAACAACTAAAGAGGACGCCATGATCGGATCTAGAAGCGGCAAATTCGTCGCTTGTCCGGTCTTTGGTGCCGCAGCAATGGCGGACTCGGGGCAACTGATTTGCAACCTTGCTGGTCAAGAAGAAAGCGTGGCCAAAGTGCGTCCATTCTGCAACGGCGTCACAAGTGCACACACCATTGATCTTGCTGGCCAGTCTCCGGCTCAAGCGACCCTTTTGAAGATTATTGGCAATACGTTTGTCTTGAACATGGTCTCTGTACTCTCTGAGGGCCACGTCCTCGCCGAAACATCAGGCCTTGGAACGGACGTTTTGCATCAGTTCATAGAACTCATGTTTCCTGGTCCATACACCAAATACTCAGAGAGGATGTTAAGTGGAGATTACTATAAGACGGAGCGACCGTTGTTCTCGGTCGCCCTAGCTAGAAAAGATGCTCGACATGCGCAGGCACTTGCAAATTCGGCCGGCTTTACTTTGGAAAACGTTGCGACTGCCGATAATCTCCTTCGGGTCGTGGAAAAGCACAGAGGTCAGCAAGCAGAAATGGCAGCTATGTACGGTTCAAAGCGTTTAGACGCGGGTCTAGCCTTCGAGAACCAACAGCAGTTGTAATCTGACGGTTGACATGTTGCTCGAACGGAGAAAGTGTGCTGTATGAAAGTATGGAGCTTGTTTATGTTAGCTGGATACATAAACCATCGTAAGTCAGTATCGACTTGAATAGCAACCAGATTCAACCATGTGCTCCAGTGCTTCCGCGTAGCGTTGCTACCAATTCCCTAACAGTTCAAGCTCTCTCGAGCTCCTTCAAATCGATGTGGTCTCGACCCATGTTTACATGTACAGGATCGAAGGCTTGGAACCCTATTTGGACGAGTTCTGAATGTCCACATTGCTAACTCAATTCCATGGCAGGGCAATGGACCACATGGGGTGGCGGAAGTTGTTGCATTCACGTGTTCCGCGATGGCCGCTGACATCCATGCTCCGCTGCGGAAACATGTTGCATAGTGCGGCTAACGTCCGCCGACTTACGCGCACATCCGCAGCGCTTCTCTGCCACGGACAAGTTTTGGCATTCATTGAACGTGCTGCTTTTGCTTTGCATTTACGTTCCATGTCTTGACATCACTCACATTGCCTTGTTAACTGTTCGGATCGACAAGTTGATATGAGTATGCAGCAAAATACAGCCTACAAGCCCAGCCAGGGTCTCTCAATCGAAGATTATGCCGTCGACGAAGACACCATCTCGCAGCGCACCTTCCAAACCCAATTCAATATTGAGCCGAAAAATCAGGTTCGCCTCGTAAAATTGCTATTCATGCAATACCAGGTTCCAAATCTTGACCAAATCACCATCTTTCTCCAAGGTTCGTCCATTTAATGATGTCCACCTTGCATACAATTGACGCTCGTTGTAACAGATTTTGGCCTCTCTGTGGCAAAATCTACGCCCGAATCTCGTTGGTTCAACGGCTATGGCTCAGAACCCTACGTCTATCATGCGCGTAAAGGACCTCGCAAGTTCGGTGGTGGCGCATTTCTGGTAGAAACGTACGCCGATTTGGAAAAAGCATTAAAGGTGCCTGAGGCCAAGGTTCTGAGTAATGGCATCGAGTCCTTGAAAGACGCGCCAGGTGGAGGCTTTATTGTGACACTGGAAGATCCTGAGGGCTTCCCCATCAGCCTGGTCCATGGCCAGCAACAAGACCAGAGTCAGGCTCAGCCGCCCACACAGATCATATTGAACTACGAGGTCAAAAAGCCTCGCGTTCGGAAATTTCAAAGGTTCACACAAGGTCCCGCGGCAGTGTATAGGGTGTGTATGACTATGTGCATCTCTTTGCTCGGCAGCTGACATGAGCGTTGTACAGCTTGGCCACTATGGTCTCGTCATCGGAGATTTCCAATCTCAATTCGCCTTCTACACGCGCAATTTCAACATCATACCCACCAGTATTCTGTACCTCGAGAATGACAAAAGTGAGAATGACAAAGGTACTTGCGGCGACATGGTGTCGGAGTCGCGGCAGAATGTTGCAATGTTTGCACATATTGACCGTGGGACCGAACTTGTCGATCATCACTCGCTTTTCCTCGTCACTCGACCTCCGCAGATTCATGAGTCGCATGTCCACCACTGTAGCTTTGAAATCCACGACTTCGACACCCAGCTCATTGGTCACCACTGGATGCTCAACAAGAATTATCGGCCAGCATGGGGAGTCGGTCGACACATCTTGGGCAGTCAAATTTTCGATTATTGGTAAGTCTCGAGATCGCAGCGCTCTCTGCGCACCGTCTTCTTCGCAGTACTGACAATGCGATCGTCGTACATAGGTGGGACCCTAACGACTTTATGGTGGAGCATTATATCGATGGAGATGTAGTCAACGAGGATACTCCCGTGTCATTCCACCCTGCCGCAAGCGCAAAGGATGCGGCATGGGGACCAGATGTTCCTCAGGAGTTTCTCGAGTGATATGTACAACAAGTGCAATACTGTACATAAGGCTCTGCTGTCATTGTGCATGCCTGACTTGGAACTCCGTAGCCTGTATATCTTGGCAGGTTCTACAGCATTCGACTTACTGCACACGAAGAGCGCATGTGACTTAAAATGATGGAAATACACTTCTCTATAGTCATCTACCTAGTCCCCGGAAGTCACAGTTTCACTAACAATCATCAAAGCACGAATTGCCGGGACTCGCCCTGAACCATATCGGAATCGCCGTCCCGAACCTCGAAGAGGCAGTGACCTGGTACAAAACCCACCTCGGTCTCGAAGACCTTCGGGACCCTCGACATTTTCGAAGGGATCCTTCGATTCCACGTTCAGAAGATAAGCACATCTTTCGAAGTAAGTAAATGCAAAGCCCATCTTCGTCCGCGACATTAGAACTAATAGGCCATGCTCTCCAAAGTCTACGGCGAACCCTTTGCAGAGGCGAAAGTAGCATACCTTGTCGCCAGCAACGACGTGGGGTTTGAGGTTTTTGAATTCATCAATCCCCAATGCGAGCCGCCGAAAAAATTCGGTCCCCAAATGTATCTCTCGCCAGGCTGCTATCACACCAGATCCTGTTGCATACGTCGAGAGATTGGTGGAAGCTGGAGTATCCAAAATTGGTCAACCTGCGCACTTGGCAACAGGAGACGTGGTGGCGTAGGTGCAAGATCCATTTGGGTTGGTGCTGGAGATCTGTAGTAGGTCTTTTTCGACTTTCGTGGCAGGAACTTGATGAGGTGGGAAGCGCGCGAAGTTCATGATCATTGTCCGATCTGGCCTCGCTCCGAAGATGTCATTTATCGTCGAAGATTGATTTCAGACTCTGATGGGAAAGTGTGAGAAAGTGAGAGTGAAATACGAAGCATCCGATATCAAAGGCATTGGATCTGCTCCGAACAATCTCTCTTTCTACATGTAATTCCTCAGGTCCGCTCAATTAGTCGAAAACTATCCGATTCTGCAACACCCCAATATTTTCAATCCCGATCTCCACCACATCACCGTCCTGAAGGAATTGCGGTGGTTTCATGAACAAGCCCACTCCTGACGGCGTCCCGGTCATGATGAAAGTTCCCGCCCGTAACGTTGTGCCGCGACTAAGATGCTCAATAATTTCAGCCACACTCCAAACCATGTCGCTCGTCGACGTCTGCTGCCGTATCATTCCGTTCACCTTTGTGTAGTACGTCAACTGTTGCGGGTCTTTGATAATGTTTGATGACACTATGCATGGGCCGACAGGAGCGAATTGATCGAAGGACTTGGCGTAGCAGAACTGTCCACCGCAGACACTCGCTGGGATTTGGTAGTCGCGAGCTGAGATATCGTTGCCGACGGTATAGCCGAGCACATGGTCCAAAGCATTAGTAGCTGAGACGTTTTTGGCATCTTTGCCGATAACCACCGTGAGCTCGCCCTCGTAGTCGAGCTGCTTCGTAACTTCGGGATGCACGTGTACATCTTCGTACGATGCCGTCAACGCATCAGGTGGCTTGGTGAAGACGACAGGTCGGGTGGGAATTGGAAGCTTTAGCAGGTATTAGCGATCGATTTCATAGGCCGGACAAAGTGCTTGCGTTTGCTTCTTCTGCGTGATGTCGGTAATTGACCCCAATGCATGGGACGATGCCTGTCGGTGGCACCGGTGTGAGCAGCTTTCGACGTTGAGTAAACATGTCAGTCGGGTTAATTGGCTTCCAGTAGCTATTGAATACTAACTTTAGCGACAGTACCTTGCTTGCCTGTCTTCGTGAATCCTTGTTGCAAGCTACCGGACAACAACTCAACAGAAGCTCCCTTTAGAGAACTCCCCTTGGGTTCTTCTGATAAGTTCCCCCACTGCTCTTGCGTATTGTTGTCTTCGAAGCGAATAAGTCGTTCAAAGCCGGAAGTCGTCCCTTGAGGCATGATGGAGATTCTTTAGACTTTTAATGCTTTGGTGCGAGCAGATAAACCCCAGTTCGACCGTGCTTAAGTATGAGAGGTCGGCAGGTTCTTTCACAGACGTAAACATTGAGTAGAGCGGAAGCTGCGGGTATCATTCCACGTGATTACCGCTGTCCACTTAAATGCTTGGCTTCTCAATGCGGATGGGCACTTCCATTCCGTATCCGTCACTGAAAGTGACTATGTTGCTGAACAGAGCACAGCACTCAGCGAAATTGTAGACTAGCGGAGTACTGCACTGAATATCTTCGTCAATTGTGCAGCCGCGAACTTGTTCTTATGCAACCAAACTTCGAAGACCGATGATGTTTGAATTACCAACCGGCCCCGCCTTCACCTCCTCCCGCATCGACTGGCCAGAACAGGAGACTGTCACAGCCATCCTCACCTCCGTCAAGCCAGTCGATAGGCGGATTGTCCAGCAGGAGCTGATCCGACGAGATTGTCGAATCAGTCATGAAGAGGCTATCCCCACCATCAACAGTCTCACCGCCGCCAACACCACCTAGAGCACGGAGATGCGCAAACTTCTTCTGTTTTAACGTGGACGCCAAACGCTCGGCTGTTTCGACCGCTTCAGCTGCAAGAGATGCACTAAAGACTTCAGACACGCTACGTAGACAGTTGAGCGCTTTTTGTACCAGTGCGAGACTTTTGTCGGAGTCCATGGCGATGAGCAAAAGCGATGAATGAAAGGGTGTAGAGACGGCGGTCCACCAAGGATGCCTACAAGCCACCACTTTTTCGACTTGTAACAGACCACCTTCGAGAAGATCAACAAGTAAGCCAGTCTCGCGTGCTGTGATCTGGCAATTTTGGCTGTGGATCTGCCGTCGATACCAATGAATGGCGATGTCGACTTTGAACAGCTCCAGCACCTCGTGGCCAGTGGGTATCGCAACAATCTTCTGCAACGCTGCAGTACGGTCAATGGATTCGAGCGCCGGCTCCAGGTCGAACAGCGCGCCGGCAAGGTTAGAAAGGACGGAAGGCTGTGACAGTCCTGGGAAGTCACTCTGACACTCGTTGAATCGCACACGGGAGCGGCCATATTCCGCAGAAATGCTGGCGTTCAGAAAGACCATGAGATGTAAGACTCGTATGCGTGTGTTTGAAGTGTCCGTCTCATCCCTGACCTGCGAGATATGTAGTGCGATTGCTTCGGCAACATGCATTCCTGTGCAGGAGGCTAGCCACGCGATCGATGGACGAGTTGTCAGGCGGAGGTACAGCGTCCGAAGAGCCCACGCCGCTGCTTGGTCAACTGATTGTCTTCCCGGGGCATAGCAGCAGCCAATTTCCAGGATTGATTTCACCTGTTCAACTAACTGAGCCTCTGCAGCAGAGGGCTCCTCTGCAAAAAGCGAACCTAGAGCAACAACGCTAGCCACAACAGCCTCGAAGTCGGGCAAGGGGCTGTCTCGCGCGATCCAATAAGCACGACTGCGTTCCCGGTATATCTCCGGATCAAAAATCCCGAGTACTGGATTCAGGACCTGGAGGAAAACGTTGCTATACGTCAAAATCTCTTGGTAGGTGATAAAGCGGCGGACGGAGGACCATGCAGGCGGCGGCGGCTCCGCGCGCAGATTCACGTTCCAGGCATATGAGTGCAGGCGTTCATCGGCTGGGCCGCCGACAATGAAGCGAACCTTCCGGGGGAAGACAATGCTGCTATGGATGCCACAATAGCGTCCTTTGCGCGCATGGAAAAATGAGGTGGGTGTCTCGGCAATGGTGGCAATGCCCAGCTCGTCGTCTGGACAGCCAGCATCTGTGTTGATCTCCCTAATCGGTGACATGGGACCCGATTTGCGGAGATGATAGGCGGTGTCACCAGAGTTGTGCGAGGTACAGTGCTGGGCCTCATCGTCTCGGACTTGCATCGGTGATGGGCGGCTAGCGACAGCGCCGGACGCCGAACAGCCATCGGAAGTGTTCGAATGCTTGCTGAAAGAACAATCGTACTGGAAGAAACGGCATTGCGCGCAAGGCTGCAAGCCGTCGCACTTGCGACGTCGCCTTCGACATGCGTCACAAGCCTGTCGGACCCGGCGGCGGACTGTTGGCGGCTCCGATGGCATAGCGGAATCCACTTGCGACGTCGTCATGGTGCTATTGCTACACGCACTGCTCTTCCGCTTCAAGGTGGAAGCGCGGGATGTAATAAGAGAAGAGGAACGAGGAGGACAGGAAATCTGGGGAAAGGAAAAGAGGCGGGCTAGTGCGGATATTACCCGCCTAGTTCTAACTAAGAGGCGGACGAGTGCGGATATTACCCGCCTAGTTCTAACTAAGAGGCGGACGTAAATCTAACTTGTATCGTAGGCTAAAGCACTTTAGGAACGCTAGTCGAGACTATAGAGTATACTTACTAAGATACTAGATAGTTAAGCCTAGTCTACCTAGCTATAAACTTAGATAGTAATAATATCTTCTATACTATTTTATACGTTTAGCTTCCTACGCTAGCTTTATATTCTCTCTACTAGTAGTTATAACTAGATCGCTCCTAGATCTAATAAATAGAATACCTATACTTCTATATATCTAACTACTATTCTAACTCCTATATTACTTAACTTTACTTAATAGCTATACTATAGTATCGCTTCTAGATCTATTAGTAACTAGACTACTCCGACTCTATTTACTACTATATTCTCTATATATATTATTATACTACTAGCGATAAGCTTCGATAGCGTACTCGTTTAGCTAGCTAGAAGTTAAAGTTATTTTCTAATACTACTCGTACTCTATATATCTTTTACCCTATATATATATTATATAACTTTTCTTTTACTTTATAATATATTTTTACTATATTTCTATCTATATCTCTATCTAAAACTACTCGATAATATAGCTACTTTTATAAATACTTTTATATCTCCTCTACTATTCTCTACTCGTTTAAATATTACTTCTATTAGCCGCTACTACTCTAAGTTTTTCGTAAAATAATAGCCTCGCTTAGTATATATTTATCTTTTCTACTATATCTACTTTTCTAACTATAATTATTTAACTTTTTAGGTACTCTAGTATATATTACTATCTAGACGTTAGATATATTAATTCTCTTTTTTAATATATTAGTCGATATAAATACCTACTTAGACCTACTTTTTAATATTTCTACTATCCTAGTTTTCTCTATCTCGCTACTAACGCTACTATAAAACGTAGTTCTACTTAATACTATAGCTAACTACTTTATCTATTTAATAGTAGGATAATATATAATAATTTTATTCTAGACGGGATACTACTATTTTTTCTACTTTATAATCTTTTTTATCCTCTTTTTCTACTACTCGCTTTTAACCTCTTTAATACTATATATAATATTTACTTATATTATTATATTTTAGATAATAGTTATATTTTACTAGTCTAATTTTATAGCTATAAAAAATATGTTTTTCTTCCGCGGCGGTAATATAGCTATTATATATATTAACTATATTAACCGTCTAGTATACTTTTATAACTTCTATATATTTTATTAAAAATTAGGCTAAGCTTATAAAATACTATAGTATTTATTAAATATAATATAGTTTAACTAGTAGTAAACCGCTTTAGAATTAATAAAATCCGTAAATACTTTAGTAATAGTAGACTCTATAATTATAAATATAATCTATACTTTATAAAGTAGTATATAGTTATCGCTCTATATAGCGTATTTAATATCTACTTTTTTATACTACTACTATATATCTATTTATAATACTATTTTAAGTAAAATTATAATAGTTAACCTATTATTACTAGCTAATATTAGTAATATAAATAATAAACTTTTCCTATCTCTAGTATATATTACGATAATAGTTTAGAAATACCTACTTACAATTAATTATAATATTTTATACTCTATATATAGCTTCGAAGTTAGAGGTTAGAAGTATATTTTAATTCTTTTTTTAAAAAAAATAGTATATTTTATAGCCTATATTAAGTTATCTATTCTTTATATAAATAAAGTATATCTAGTCGCTTACTATTATATAAAATACGTTTAAAGTTAACGCTTAAAAGTATAGACTCGCTTCTTTAGATTATATCTAAGAGACTTTTTATTACGCGCTAAAGCTTTTCTCTATATATATTCTATAAGCTCTCCCTCTTTATACTTCTATCTATAATACTTAATAAATATATAATACTATATAAGCGCCTAGTATAGACTC